AGCTTACAAACAACACTTGTCAGACTGACAGGGCGATAGTTGCCGGGGCTGCTTTTGTCACCTTTTTTGAACAATGGTGTTACTTGAGCTTCTTTCCAGTCGGACGGCAAAGTTCCTTCGTTCAAGGTTTTTTGAAAGAATACTGTCAATGGGCCGGCCAGAACGGTTGCTAATTCTCTGAGCAATCTGGGATGGAAACCGTCTGGTCCACATGACTTGTTGGGATTTAGAGCTACCAGGCGCTTGAGAACCTCTTCTTCGTGTTATCGTGTATTTCAAAGCATGTTAACTTCGAATAAATTTCGAGGAGAAGTTCCTGTGATCTTTGCGGCTTCCATCATTAGTGCTGAGTGTAGTTATTGCGTATTGAGGCTAGGTGTTGGTCATAAAGCTGATGCAAGGCTTTAGTTCTTAGTGCGATGAATTTTGAAAGCGGGTATTCGGAACTACGTCTTGACAACAGTGTTTTTCTCTTCTTCCGATCGGAAAGCTTCTACTATAAAGATCATAGTCTTAGTAATGTGGTATCTGCGGCTGATCATTTAATGCATGATTTACTCCGAAAAAGTAAATTTGTTTCACAACAAATGATAACAGATGCGCACGTTAATCAGAATTCCAGGCCCAGGAACTTATAGCATTTACTTTAGCCTACGCGTGCGGGTAAGCATTTAAAATTGATTTGTTTTAAACAATTGCAACAAAATGTAATTTTTTAGCTTTTTACAAACTGAATTATGTAATTAGTTTGAAGTTACTATTTAATTTCGCTGCATTTGGTGAGATATGTGGTAACATCCCATGTTGACATTAAATGCTCTTTCCGATGCAATATGTAACCCACATATTTCCGCAGATTAGCTTGTGGTGGTGCGCAAGTGATTTTCCTAGTCTGTTGAGTCTCCTATTTTTTTTTATAGTTAATTTATTAATCTAAAGACGCAAAGTAAATTATTTTCTATGTGAATATCTGTTCTTTCATTAAAAGTTTATTGAACATTCCTCTCAATCTCATTCGTGTTTTCCTACCCTACAGCCTACACGCCTAGCCCTAGTGCCTACACTTACACTACAGTAGGTACTACTCATAATCGGAGTCGGAAATTTTTGTCACGAAAATTTACGTAAGCCTAGTCTAAAGAGTAAAGTGCTCTAAACTTCGTAGCCTCGTAGGATTAAGTACAATCTTATGTCAAAGTGTGTGATATTAATAATTATTCAGAAATACTCTATAGCTCTTCAGGTTATGTAAAATAAAAGTACCTACCTAGTCGGAGCTTGTGTCTCGACCTTAGCTATCATTATGTAGCATGTGCCATGTAGGGCTCCTAGGTAGCCTAGTAGGTTCATCAGCACTATTTACTGACTTTAGAAATCTATTTTTTTAGAATATAAAAATTTTGGGCTTCCACTTGTGTATACTTGCTACCATTCTTCTTGTAATTCAATGGTAAGCAAGTGTCTACTAAATTTCTGTAATTGGATAAAAAATTTTGTAAGTTTTTAAATTTATTTAACAAAATTTAAAGATCAGGGATGGGAGGTAAGGCTAGCACTGCTGCAGGAGGAGCTCTGACTGCTGCTTCTCAAGATGCACAAGGACATATTTCACCTGGTGAGTTGAAATTATATCTTTATTTTATTTATTACATTTATTTATATTATGTAAATTATATTTAAACTATTCTTGGAATAGAAAACTGCTTACATTTTAGTGTTTTTTTTAATGCTGCTCATGCAGGATGCATTAGGTTTCTGTCAAACATTCAAAGTGAAAAATTTACTTATTAGTGTTTTATATTTGTTTATGTATTTGTATGGTTTTCAAGACTATATGAAATAGTGAATCATTGTTTTCTTGAATTTAATTGATAGTATTTTAATGTGCAGTAACGTGAGAAATTTTGATTTGCAATCAATAAATACCGGTACCGTACATCTGCCAGGAAGATTGAATGTTTTTGGCTATTAATCAGTAAAAATTTTCAATAGATGGTATAATTTAAATTTGTAAATTAAGAATGTAAGTTTTAAGACTACAAACATGGATCCATGCATGGGAAATCTTTTTTTCATTGTGAAAATATTTATGAACTTGCTTCTTCAAAATTCCTCTCCTGGTTCATAAAAAAAGGTATACCTATTTATTATACAAGAATTCAAATTTCTAAATCCAGTGCAAATAAATACCGTCAATACCAATAACCTTGCCTGCACCTGCAGCACTGAAGTTGCTGGCCTTATAAACAAAACCAAATATTATTATATTTTATAAACCAAACCAAAAAACCTCTTTCTAGCAAAATCAAGATAGTTTTTTTAGTTATAATGTGGCAACTGAGCC